TTTTTTTTGGTTTTAATTTACTTATTTATTATGTATACAGTGCACATATCCCTGCAGGCCAAAAGAGGGCACAAGATCGCATTACAGATGGTTGTGAGCTACCATGTGGTTGCTGGGAATTGAACTCAGGACCTTTGGAAGAAGAAGCAGTGCTCTTAACCTCTGAGCCATCTCTCCAGCCCCAGAAGAGTAAGTTTTAAGTTGATGAATTGCATCTTGTATGTTTTATCTTTTTCCACTGTGATTTTTTTATATATAATTTATTTTTATTTTATGTTCATTGGTGTTTTGCCAGCATGTATGTTTGTATAAGGTGTTAGAAGCCCTGGAACTGGAGTTACAGATAGTTGTGAGCTGCCACATGGGTGCTGGGAATTGAATCCAGGTCCTCTGGAAGAGCAGCCAGTGCTCTTAACCTCTGAGCCATCTTTCAGCCCTCACTGTGATTTTTAAAATCAAATCTGAAAACCCTAATACAAGATCACGAGAGTCACACCTCTGTTTTCTACTAAGAGTTTTGGGGAAAACTGGGAAAGCTAAGGCTTTGCATTGAGTCCACTTTGTGCCTGTGGCTATGCAGTGGTCTAGTTTCTTTCTTTTACATGTGGATACTAGGCTGTTCCAAAACAGTGTATTTTCTCAGGAAAAGACTCGGATCTGCACCACTGTCTTAGAACCACTGCCGAGAAGGAATTGGCCTTACTGAAAGGGTTTACTTCTGTGCTCTCAATTCTACTGCACTGGTCTATATGCGAGCCTTAAAGCAGAACCACTCCATATTGATTACTGTAACTTAGCAGTACGTTTAGAAGTTTGAGTCTTTCAGCTTATCCAAGATTATTTTGCATATATACACATATATTCCTTACATTTCTATATGAATTTTAGAATCAATTTGTCAATTTCTATTAAAAAAAATCCAGCTTGGAGTATGCTGAGTCTCCATCCCCTTGGGAGTACAGCCATCTTAATAAGATTGTCTGCTAATCCATAAATGTTGATCTGCTTTCCATTAATTTTTGTCTTAATTTCAAAAATATTTTGCTGGTTTTCAATGTATGGGATTTCCATTTCATCTTCAGATTGCTTACTTCTAGTGTACAGTGTAGAGGTCTTAGACATTGACACGCAGCCTCTCTGAAGCCATGGACTTGTTCTAATAGTTTTCTAGAGGTATCCTTAGGACTTTTTACAGAAAAAAGTCACACACAAATGGAATTAATTATCTATTCCTTCCTTTGCAGTTCGAATACCATTTTATTTCTTGTCCTTATTTACTTGTGTAGTGAGTGACTGAATTATTTAAGTGAACTATTTTCCCTTTCTCCCATATTTGTATAATCAAACCATATGTGAAATGTCATATTCTGTCCACATTCAAAGAATACTAACAAACTAAAGCAAATACAGGGATAGGGAAGGCGTCAAAATGACAGAAAAGTCTTAAGGAATTGAAGATGCTTTCCATGAAAAACTTAGGCTAGAAGCATAGAAAGGATGGAACTGCCTTCTGCTTCAGCTGAGGGAGGTGACAGAACCCCAGACACACCAGTAGGCATTAATATGGAAGTAGACGTTTGCTTACTCACAAGGAAAGGTTTAACAAGGAGTCCAACAGTGGCATACCATGCTTTTAGAAAATAGTGAGGTTTCCATTTTAAGGAAAGCTTTCATCCTGCCCCAACTGATAAGTCTTATGCACTTTCTGTGGGAGGGGAGATCTGAGTAGATAACTACTACAGTTTTTATAGTTTCTGTTACAGTCAAGTCTCTTATACTAAATATAGCCATTTGATATAATATAAAGTACTTTTCAGGCCTATGAACATTTCTAGAAAAATGTTTACAAAGAAATCAAATTTTTTTTAGCAAATAAACCTGAGATTGTCATTTGGAAGTAATTAACAGAACTGTCATATCTTCAGTAGCCTACTTTATAACAACTGGGGAAATGGGTTGCTTTGAACTTCCTTATTCTCTCATGTAGTTGATTTAAACACTAGAATAAAGCAATTCATTTTCAAGAGTTCCTCTGTTATTTTTTTTTTTTTGAAAGTTAACAAAAATAATTAAGATCCAGAACTCACCAGAAGAAATCTTACCAGCACCTTTATAGTCAACAGAAAATGCAGATGTGACTCCATTGGCTGATCCCAGTTCACACATTGGGATTTGATAAGGGGGCCTCAGCTTGATTTCCATCTGCATGTCAGACAGATTTATTTTTGTTGAAAGAGACCTGGGATTATTATATCGCTGCTTGGTCCTCTGAATGAAGTTATCTATGTAAAATAAAAAATAAATTTCCTTGCAGTCATTTGTTAATTAAATCATTTGAGAGTGTGATGTTTATGGTTATAAATTTTATAAAGTTTGTTATTCAAAACTTTTCAATTTGTCAAGGGATTTCCAATATTATGTTTAACAGGTGGCTGTATCATGGAGTCATCAGTTTTACACTCTAAATATTAAACCCTAAAATGAAGTTATTAGAGCTAGAGGCTACCTAAATATAGACTTCAGGAAGTCTATATTTTTGCAGAGACAAAAAGAAAAAGCTTTGCTTGTCAACCAATGCCTTAATTTTTATATCCTTATCTCACACAATAGTCAATCTGTTATTAGCTGTAATTATATACAAATTACACTATAAGCAATATGTTTTTATAAATCTGTTTTCTTGTTTATTTTTACACAATTAGATAGTATGTTCTGAAGAATAAGTGGAATCAATAAAAAAAATTCCTAAATATCTTCCAAGCAGAATTTTATTTTTACTATTTCCCCTCTTTCTATGTAAAGAAATCTATAACTTTGAACAGATTTTTCTGGTTGAGCAAACTATTGCCCACAGGCCAAATCTAAACTGCTGTTTTTGTAAATAAAGTTTTATTTGACAATAACTATGCTCATTCATTTATGTTTTGCCTGTGGCTGCTTTCAAGCTGCAAAACCAGAGTTGAGTAGTTGTGGCAGAGACTAGAAGGCCCTTAAAACCTGAAATACGTACTCTGTGATCTTTTCCAGCAAGAATTTGCCAACCCCTGTTCTACATTAAGCAGACTATAAAAGATTAGCACATAAACACTAAACGGAGTCTGTGGCTTATAAACTTCTCATTGAGAATCTGTCCTCTGGGATTCGTTCTTTGGACTAATAATCACAATCTCCTTCACAGCTCAAACACATTTTTTTTCCTAGTAGACATCCAAATTAAGAACTATAGATTCTTTGCCACTTATTCTGTCAAAATCAAGGTTGCAGAAGTTTCTCTCCTACTCCCCAATATTAGATGATAAATTGTGTGACTGGAGACAGGATAATAAAAAGTACAGAAAAGAACAAAACAACACAAACCAGGCCCTTACCAAATTCAATGAAACAGTATGGTCTGACAGCAGTATTTGTCTTCATCATGTTATAAGTGGTAATAAACTCCTTCTGAAGCTCATCCAGGAAAGAGAAGGCCAGAACATTTGGGTAATTTTCAGTGCACAACATCATGTAGCTCACTCCCAGAGAGCTAATAAAACTACAGTATAAAAAACATTGGGTTTAAAATTTCAAATTAAATCAAGGTAATTTGTTGTTTCACAAGACTGGTTCTATACACCATAAACTGCTGCTACAGTAGCAATGAAGATATTAACATTTATTATACATTCCAGCAACAACTTTAAAAGAACCAACATATAATACTATCTAAAGTTGTGGCTATGTAAGAAAGGGAGATACACACTATACTTCTAGATTTCAGCTAGTCATCACAGAGCAGAAAGCAAAGAACATACAAATATGTAAGCATCCCAGTAGTTTAAAGGCCAACCTTTCACAAAATCAGGTGGAGATTATACACTCAAGTCAAGAACTGTTCAGAAAAATCTGGTCAAAGTTATGGACACTAACTCTGGAAAGACACCCAGAACTTAACATACAACCTCAGGGTGGTCACCAATCTCTTGAAGTCACCAATGACTCAAGAATCAAATCTTTTACATTACAACATTGAGAGGGAACAAAATTATATGTATCACTGGGGGGAAAGGAGGAATTTTTTCATTCATAACAAAGACAAATACATAAAAGAGAGAGAAAGGAGCATGGCTTATAGCAAAATGCTAAGAACTGCCTAGTTGGAGGGGGAGAACTGGAATCAGAAGAACAAAAAAAACCAAAACACCATTTTAGAGCCACCATATTAAAAAACGGGATCAGGCAAAATGATCATGACCATTAAATCGAGGAGGGAATTTTAAGGTGCACCAATATGTTTTCATGGCATGCTTTTCACCCTTCCCAATGCTGTGACCCTTTAATACAGTTCCTCACCTTGTGGTGACCCCTACCAGAAAAGAACTTTCATTGCTACCTCAGAACTGTGATTTTGCTACTGTTATGAATCGCAATGTAAATATCTGTCCTTTCCCATAGTCTTAGGCAACCCTATGAAACCCCCACAACTGTGGTCTTGACCCACAGGTTGAGAACCACTGCTTTAAGATGTTTTTCAATAGACTGTTTCTTAGTTGCAAGAGGAAAGTCTATAGTAGAAACCAGAGCACATGCTAACCAAGTATTCTAATATCAGTAATGAGGAGCAGGAAGACATCATGCATCTCCATGCGTGACATCCTAAGGCAAGACATCACTTGTCAGCATTCCCACTAGGATGTATAACCTGAATCTAACAGTAATCTAATAGTAAAGAAACATCAAAATAGCCAACACTACATTTTTTACATAAGGAGGTATATTCTTTAAAAACAAAACAAACAAAAAACCCTCAATGCTGTGAAAATGAAATAAAGATTATAGAAATGCTCCCAGTCAAAGAAATCTAAAGAGTCATGCCAACTAAATGTGATAATACCTAAACCTAGTCTGAATCCCAGACAGAGAGTGCTGAGCTGCCATAATGAATATTAAATGACAAAATAAGAAAGCAGGCAATATGTTACAGTAGCAATATTAAACTTACTCTAGCTAATTATGGTATGCAGTCAAGTAAAAACCTATTTCCAATCTTAGAAAATACACTTTGGAATGGTTAAGAAGGCCTGAGCTGGGTATGTAGCTCAATGGTAGAGCATTTGCCTAGCATGAACAAGCTTAATATTTGTTCTTCAGCATGCATGCAGGGTAGGGAGGAGGAGGAGGAGGAGAAGGAAATATCTGTTTCTCCCAAATGGTTCAGACAAAAAATCAATAAATAAACAAAACACATAGGTAGGAAAATGTCAAAAAAAAAAAAAAAAAAAGCCAAGTACAGAAACACATATTATTAGGACTTCTCTTACTCATACAATTTTTGTAAGCTTGAAATTGTTTCTAAAGAATATGCTAAATAAATGTGCTTTAAAACTTCTACTTTAAGCATGGAAACATTTAATTTAAATATGTTACACTGAAATAAGACTTTCTAAAATATAGCATATGCCTTTCTTCCATAATAAATAAGTGGTGAATGGACCACAAATTAACCATTTAATGACTCACCTAAGTATCCTTTTCTTGTACTGACCACATAGCTGGTCTGGACCAGGAGCAGTAAATCAACACAACATCCAGGCTATGGCTCCTACTTGTGTGCTACATCCTACTAATCACAGCAATCTGTATTGCCCGCTTGATCCATACTAGTGCACTTTTTTCTCTAATACTGTAGATAAAAAATTTAAGATTTATTTGTGTGTGTGTGTGTGTTTAGTGCACAACCCTGTGCATGCTCAGAGGCCAGAAGGTGTCAATGTCCTCCTTTATCACTTTCCATTTATCACTAGTCCTTTGAGACAGGGTCTCTCCCTAAACCTGGGACTGCATTTCTCAGCTAGACTGGAAGTCAGCAAACCCCAGCAATCCTCCTGTCTGCACCTTCTTGGAGCTGGGATTATAAGCATGTGCAGGACACCTGGCTTATTATGTGGGTGCAGGATCCATCTGCTAGTCTTCATGGTTGTGCAGCAGCAAGCACTCTTAACTGGTAAGCCATCTCTCCAGCATCCAGAACTTCTTTAACTTGGGAGTAAATATGCTAACATGGTTAAATTTAAAAGGGAGGCGGGGTGAGACTGTGAACTGATATTCTTCTCTGCCCACAGGTACTCAATTCTCCTCCCCTTAGGTAAGTCATGTTACTAATTCCCTCTGTATCTTTTAGAGCGTGAGACACACTTGTAATAAAATTGTACTCAACATATTCCAGAAACCTGAAACTGCTTTCTAAAATTCCACTTGATAGTCATTTTTTGCAAAATTTCTAAAGCTGTAATCCATTAGGACATAAAATTAATAAGTTATAACATTTTGTAAAAAAAAAAACTAGAAAAGAAAAATTTGGAATATATATTGTTTCATGAAACATTTATTTCAGCTTTCTACACTTATATACATATGCTCACAAAGGCAACTATATCTCTTCTCAAGAATCATTAATTTAAAAAAGTATAGCTACAGCATATGGAATTTTTTCTATAAATTAGTATTTAGTCAAAGGTCAATTTTTTGTTGTTTTTGTTCTTTTGGGGCGCGGGGGGGGGGGGAGGGTAGATACTGAAACAGGATCAATATTAGCCCAAACTAGTCTTGAATGACTCTTGAACTTATTAGCTCAGGGTGGCTTCAGACTTCTGATCCTCCTGTCTCAGACTCCCAAGGGCTAGGACTACAGTTATGTGCTACCAAGCTAGTCTAGAATATAGTTTGAGTGATTTTCTTGTCTCAAAATACGTTCTGTCATTATGAAAATTCTTGGCCATGTCATTAGCATTTGAATGTACTCCACAATAGTTTGAAAAACTTGGACACAATTAGCAGTTGGCTTCTATCCATTCACAACTCCCAACTAGGGATACACAAGTTATTTCATTATTATCTAATAATGTGACTGAAGGTTTTGGACCACATTTTCTGTGTTACGTCAGGGTTTTGCTGTACCTCTGCATTAACAGTTCAGTAAGCCACAGACGCCTACCTCATAGTTTATGGCAAATCTTGTTTGTGCTAAATTTAACTGAAAGATTGAGTGAGAAATACAGAAAAACCTATTTTTTTTTAAGTGTTATATGCTGGCATTTTCAGAAACTCATCTACTTGTATAATACTTTCTGAAAAGGCTATAAACCATTCTACAATTGACTTCCATAGTAAATTTAGCCTTATAATTCTTTCTCTGAAATGAAAAACAGCTTCTTAACAGTACATGCCAGCTCTGTTAATTTATATTTGTAGTAAGAATAATAATTGCTTTTTCCATTATTGTTGGGCCAGATGGATTCTTACCATCTCACTGAAGACTACTTTTGAAACAGTCTAACATCACTACAAGCATGCTACCTGAGCACACCATCTGACTTAGTTCATGTTTTATATATAGATACTATGCCTTAAGGAAGGTAAGAGTAGCAACAGTAACAACATGCTGACTACTCTGCTGAATAGTTTGCATAAATTTTTAATTCATCCTCACAATAAAAGGCTACTAACTAGGTCTATTCTGCAAATACAGAGCCTCAGAGAGGTCAGGAAATTTACCCAAGGCCACACTATTAATAAGCAGAGCTGGTGCACCTGGGGACATAGTTGAATTGGTAGAGTACTTGTCTAGCCTAGGTAAAGCCCTGCGTTTGATCCCTAGCACAACAAACCAAGAGCTAGGATAAACGGTTAATTCCGGAGCCTATAATCTTTCTACAACACACCAACTGCCATATTGCACAAACATTAATTTTTTCATGTTTTTCTCAGCCACAGATCAATCTGGGTTTTTTTCCCCAACTACATGAAGAGCAATGAGACTGAAGGACTTCAGGACCTGCAGAATAGGTATAACCTGAGACCAGAAAGCCCTTCCAGTTTTTCCACTACGTCGTCTGCTGCTCTCTTCTTCCCTCTTTGCATCCCACAGATGCCCGTTTCAGAGCTTCAAGTGTGCCAATTTACTCCCAGCCCCGTCACTGCCATCCTGAGAAGCTTCCAGAACACTGTCTCCTCCACTCTCCACGTGCTCCAACTCTGCCCTGGCTAAAGCCCACTCACCTACCTGTTCTTAAAGGCCTTTGAAGAGGGCATGATCTAAAGCAGTGATTCTCAACCTGTGGGTCGTGACCCCCGGGGAGTCACATATCAGATATCCTATATACCAGATACTTACATAACAGGAGCAAAATTACAGTTGTGAGGTAGCAACAAAAATAATTTACGGTTGGGGGTCATCACAACATAAGGAACTGTATTAAAGGGTCATAGCACTAGGAAAGTTGAGAACCACTGATCTAAAGTGATCTCACCCTTGTGGTTTTAACATAGCAGCTGTTATTAATCATGAACTAGCCCAAGCTGCAAGTGTACACTTATATATTTGCATTCTGCAATGTCATTTTCACTATGAGAGCATGGATGGTTTCTGTATTGCCCACCATTGTATTCTTAGCTCCTCGAATAATGGGTCTAGTACATAATAGGTGCTCAAAAAATGAACAAATAAAGGACTGCCAAATAGGCACCATCCACTTGCCCATAGCCCAGTAGTATCTA